CCTAAAATCAAGTCTCATGTAGATCAGGTGGATCAATTGCTGGAGAGATCTATTTCTTTCCACAGGAAAGCCTAGAGTGACAAAGACTCGGCTCAGCTGACTTCCAGAGGCGTTAAAGCCCTGGCTGATTTCCTTCCTCAATTTCCCCATATGTAAAAGAAGGATTTTTTTTTTTTACTTACTCCGTAATTTGCTGACCTTTGCTAAAACGTGCAAGTTCTTGCAAAAAAAAACTTTATTACCTGAGCTGCCAGTGACAAAATATCACCGGAACTAGGACTTGAAGGGTCACCAAGAGGTGATCCAGAGCATGTTCTGCCTCTGTTGAAACTCAGCTTAAGCATAACCACTATGGAGAGAAGTGTGCCTAACCTGCCCTTAAAGAGACTACTCTGACAGGTAACACTTTACCACCCCCAGAGCACGGCACCTCTCTCCTTACTACCAGAAATCCCTCCAATTTGATTTGATTATTTATTTTAAAATGAAGATTCGTGTTGCCTGTGTTCTCTTTTCACAATACACAAAGATTTAAAAGTACAGACAGGACTCTGGAAAGGGTTAACAGGACATACTAGTCCAGTTGATCAGCCAGCTAATCCATTGGCTGGAAAAAAAACCTGAAAAGCCCTCATGATATCATTATCACTGACGGCTATTTCTTTAATATATGTTTGCTCCAACTTTTTGGTCATGGAATTAATTTCACCTCCTTTTTCCCTTCCTTCCACACCTCCCCTTCACGAAGCCTTGCCTCCTCCCTCCTCCAGCATCAGGAACCCCTGAGGGGGAGAAGATTTCCTTGGAGAGGTTTACAGGGAGTTACTTAAACCGTTTTCTTCTCAGCCTCCTTTCCGCCGCCGCTGGGTTGGGAACGCACCCTCCGGCGCACGCCAGCCAGTTCCCACGCAGAAAACATCAGGATACTCTCGTGATTAAGGAAAGCAAGAAATTAAATTAGCTGGGATGATACACTAACAGGCACCTCCTACAGTAGGATTTCCAGAAGCTCTAAAATATTTTTTAAAGGCTCTGTGCTCTAACATGTTATATCAGGTGTTGGGGAGATAAAAACCACACAGCCGTTACACAAAAAATTACATTTCCAAACACAGAGGAGGTAAGTTTTCCAGCTTCTCTGGATCCTTTCTTTTCTGTCTTATTTCCTTTCTTTTCCATCTTATTTCCTTTCTTTTCCATCTTATTTCCTTTCTTTTCCTAGTTTCCTTTCCTCTTTTGCTTCCCTTCCTCTTAAACAAATGTGAAAGCACAGAGAGATTTCCACTGATGATCAACCGTCTGTGGCTACTTTTGGCTGGAGCCATGCACGGAGCTAGTTCTGCCATCCCAGTCAGGTTATTTTGTCATTTTGTTTCCCACTAAGCCCCCGAGATTTTAGGGAAGAATGCTTGCAATAAGGAGACGGTGCCATTTTTCACTTTTTTTTTAAATGCTAGCCGTCCACGTTGTGTTTATTTTATTTGGCAGTTGATTGCATTATACCATATATCTCTAGTCTGTCCCTGAAAAGATACTTGTAGAGGTAGGACATAATTTCTGGGAGTCCTCTACCAAATTAGTCATTCCAGTCATCCCCTCAGAACCAACCGAGGGAAGCAGGCAGGTAATTCATTGTGTCCTTAAGAAGACACCTTAGGCTGGTCAGGAACGGCCCTGGAAAAGCAGAAACTGGCTCAGGTGTATGTGCCCATGTGGCATAAGTTAATAAGAAGGAACGAGACAGATAAATATATTGCAAAAAGCTGGTGGTGGTGACACGGACCTTACCTTACGGGTCATACCTTTGCAATCCTTTCAAAAATAGACACCTTTTTTTAGCTGAGGAGTTTCCCATGTGCCATTATTCAAGAATATAGTTTTCCTTGAGCATTTATCTCCTGAACCACTGATTGTCGAAGCCTGGCACAGAGCCTGATGGGGTTTTCTTCTGGCCAAGATTGAGCTGTTTCTCTTCTGCTGGCTACCGGAAAGCCATAAACACATATATATTTAGTCCTTTTTTGTTCTTTTTTCTTTTCCTGTAGAAAACTAAGGCAGTGCTAAGTGGAAAGAGGAGGGCTGGAAAGGATCACAGCTTGGTAAGGCCAGGTAGAAATAAATATCACATTGTTCTTTTTTTTTTTTCTTGGAGATATATCAGAAAAGGAATGAGACATGTAAATTTTACCCCCTTTCTCAAATATCTTGCACCTACTGTTAGTACATCTGTAAGCACAGGGAAAGTCCCCAACTTTCCCAACTTCCTCTCTAGCCTTTACTTCACGGGTTTGAGAGCAATTTTGGTTTTTCCTGGATTTCAGTGTCTTGTGTGGAAACCACACTTCCGATCAAGAATTCATTTTTAATGAAGAGAAAACCTGATGAATCACTTGTCTTTATCCCTCACGGTGCCTAGGCTGTACGTTGCACAGCGCTGCCCAACGGACAAACATGACGAACGCAAGCGGTGTGAAGGAATTCGTTCTTCTGGGCCTTTCAGAGAACCCAGGTGTGCAGAAAATATGTTTTATGATGTTTCTAGCCTTCTATACAATCATTTTGGTGAGAAATCTGCTCATTGTTATCACTGCAATCAGCAGCCAACGGCTGAACTCCCCCATGTATTTCTTCCTCTACTACTTGTCCTTTGTTGATATCTGTTACTCTTCCATCACAGTCCCCAAAATGATCACCAGCTTCCTTCATAGAATCCTAGAATGGCCTAAGCTGGAAGGGACCTTAGAGATCATTTTAATCCAGCCTCCCTGTCACCAGGGACGCCACCTCTCGACTAGATCAGGCAACACATGGGGACCGAACGGGAATCGAACCCGCGACCTTGGTGTTGCCAGCGCCACGCTCAACTGATTGAGCTAACCTGCCCCCTAAAATAAAACCATCTCCTTTGTGGGTTGCATAGCACAACTGTTTGGGGTTCATTTCTTTGGCTGCACGGGGATCTTCATCCTCACGGTGATGGCCTACGACCGCTACGTGGCCATCTGCCGGCCTCCCCACTACACGGCCGCGATGACCAGGTGTGTCTGCAGCCGCTTGGTGATGGGCTCGTGGGTAGGAGGCTTCCTTCACTCCATCGCACAGACTCTTCTCACCACTTGCCTCCCTTTCTGTGGCCCTAACGAAGTTGACCACTGCTTCTGCGACGTCCACCCCCTCCTACAACTGGCCTGTACCGAAACCTACGCTGTGGGCATCATTGTCGTTGCCAACAGCAGGACGATAACTCTGAGCTGTTTCCTCATCCTGGTTGCGTCCTGTGTTGTCATCCTGGTTTCCCTGCAAAGCCAAACATTGGAAGGGTGGCAAAAGGCCCCCTCCACCTGCAGGTCCCACATCACCATGGTGGTTCTGTTCTTCGGGCCCCGCACATTCATCTACAACCGTCCGTCCAGCAACCTCTCGGAGGACAAAAGCATGGCCGTGTTTTACACCGTCATCACTCCCACGCTGAACCCACTCATCTACATGCTAAGTAATGAGGAGGTGAAGAGCACCATGAGAAAGCTGTGGAGCAGAAAGGTGGGAAGCGAAGACAGAAAGGTGCGGTAACATTTCGAAAGGCTCGGAGAAAAATCATGCATCTTTCACTAATCATTGCTTTTGTGAAAATTACCCGAGAAATGCCTTTCAAAGAAAAGATTCTGTTAGTTCCTGTTGTAGTTAGGAAGACACTGAAGGTTCATCTTCTGATTTGAGAGATGTTGCGAACTCTGTGACAAGCAGGCTACTCTTTCTCAACAGAGGCCCAGGCCTGGGGTTCCTGAGCTCAAAATGAAACATCAGTGTTTAAATAAATACTACCAAAAAATACTGCTCCAGCTAGAGCAGCTCAGCACTCAGGTATAAAGTTTTAGATGAACTCCATCTGCTCTGTAATCCATTCAGCTGGGAAAGAGAGGATTATGGCCACCTTCCTACTCGCAGAAAATGCCTTTTTCTGAGAACCACACTGTGCTATTTCGAGTCCGCAGGTTAGCAACTGAAAACGGAGTATTAGGTGCTAGTTGGGTCATGTGCTGATTCTTGCCCTGCCAGTGCAACAGATCCTTTCTGTGGTGTTCAAGGCCAGGATGGATGGGGCTTTGGGCAACCTCATCTACTGGAAGGTGCCCCTGCCAAGGCGTGGGGGCTTCAACTAGGTGATCAATAAAGGTCCCAACGCCTGCCATGGGC